ACAAACAAAACCAAGAGGGCTGCACTCACCTAAACATGCATACATTATAGGGTGCTGCTGGGGCCAAAATATACAAAATACAGAATCTAGCGCACTCGCTTATCCACTAAACAATGCTTTCAAAATCTTAGAGATTGTAGTAGTTTTATTTAAAAACACCTCACCTAGGCAAAAAATAATGGGGGTTTAGTTACATTATATGATCATATATTGCATAAGCCTGCCACAATATCAATGTACCTCATTCTTGGCAGGTCCTACTCTAGCAGCCTAATGCTTTCCCTTATGAGATTGATCCACTTACTTGGGAAATACTTCCTTACTGGGACTCTCTGCAAGTCAAGGCTAAATAGGGTCCTGGAATGAGGCACCTGTGACAGGGAAGGGTGCAAAACCAAGGAGCTGGCCTAGACTCCCAAATATACAAACAAAACCAAGAGGGCTGCACTCACCTAAACATGCATACATTATAGGGTGCTGCTGGGGCCAAAATATACAAAATACAGAATCCAGCGCACTCGCTTATTCACTAAACAATGCTTTCAAAATCTTAGAGATTGTAATAGTTTTATTTAAATGGGCCTGTAAGACACAAACTGCACATGCGCGGGCATCTTCCAAGTGCATTTGCTGGCTAGAGACCAGGGAGAGCGTGGTCTGTAGCATACAAGGCCCCTGAACACCCAGCAAACTGGGAATAAATCTGAATGACTACCATCAGATACCATCAGCTCCACCACGCAGGCTCACTGCCTAGGTGTTCTTTTTGACTCCGACCTCTCCTTCAAGCCTCGTGTTCAGTCTATCGCCAAATCAGGTCATTTCCATCTCAAAAATATTGCGTGCATCCGACCCTCCTTAACGCCAGATGCGACTAAGGTGCTGGTCCAGTCCACTGTCCTTTCTCGCCTTGACTACTGTAATCCGCTTCTCAGTGGTCTTACGTGCTCCCAACTTGCGCCGTTACAGTCCATAATGAATGTGGCGGCGAGGCTCATCTTCCTGTTCGCCCGCACCTCCCACGCCTCACCCTTCTGTCAGTCCCTACATTGGCTTCCTATAAGATATAGGGCTCAATTTAAAATTCTGGTTCTTGCTTTCAAATCTCTACATAATGCTGATCCTCCCTAATACATAAGTATGTCCTATCTAGGCCCTTACGATATGCTGAAGACTTAAGTCTATCTTCTGTCCGTACTCCCACATCTGATGCTCGCCTTCAAGACTTCTCGACGGCTGCACCGTTCCTGTGGAACTCGCTTCTCTCCTCCGTTAGATGCTCACCCAGTTTCCACTCCTTCAAAAAATCATTAAAAACTCACTTCTTCATAAAAGCGTATCAATTAATTAATAGCTCTCGACAGGTTCATCTTTTGCAACTGTCACTAGTCTAATACTATTCTTACCTTTTTGTGTCACTTTACCCCACTCCCTCTAGCATGTAAGCTCATTGAGCAGGGCCCTCAACCCCTCTGTTTCTGTGTGTCCAACTTGTCTGGTTACAACTACATGTCTGTTCGTCCACCCATTGTAAAGCGCTGCAGAATTTGATGGCGCTATATAAATAATGACATAATAATAATAATATATACACTGAACAAAAATATATACGCACCACTTTTGTTTTTGCCCCGATTTTACATTAGCTGAAATCATTTGCATAACCAAAGAATTTTTGCACAGACTGTCAGAAACTCTCTTATTTGCATCCCCATCTGGGTCTCAACCTGACTGCAGTTTGTCGACGTAACCGATTTGAGTGGGCAAATGCTCACATTTGATGGTATCTGGCACTTTGGAGAGGTGTTCTCTTCATTAATAAATCCTGCTTTTCACTGTACATGGCAGATGGCAGACTGTGTGTATGGCATTGTGTGGCTGAGTGGTTTGCTGATGTCAACGTTGTGGATCAAGTGGCCCATGGTGGCGGTGGGGTTATGGTATGGGCAGGCGTATGTTACGGACAATGAACACAGGTGCATTTTATTGATGGTATTTTGAATGCACAGAGATACCGTGATAAGATCCTGAGTCCCATTGTTGTGCCATTCATACATGACCATCATCTCTTGTTTCAGCATGATAATGCACAGCACCATTTTGCAAGGATCTGTACGTAATTCCTAGAAGCTGAAAACATCCCAGTTCTTGCATGGCCACCAGATACTCACCAGACATGTCACCCATTGAGCATGTTTGGGATGCTCTGGATCGGCATATACGACAGCGTGTTCCAGGTCCTGCCAATATCCAGCAACTTCGCACAGCCATTGAAGAGGAGTGGACCAACATTCCACAGGCCACAATCAACAACCTGATCAACTCTATGCAAAGGAGATGTGGCAAATGGTGGTCACACCAGATACTGACTGGTTTTCGGAAAGCCTTACCTTGACTTACCATAAGGTTCAATGTGAAATTCCTTGCTTGCAAATCTCTTAAAAACATTGCTCTTGTCTACCTATTTCTATTAATACACAAGTATGTCCAATTCATGACCCTACACTCTGCCAAAGACCTGTGTCTATCCTCTGTTAGTACTCACACCTCTGACTCTCACCTTCATGACTTCTTTAGGGCTACACAGAACTCCCTTCTCAGCTACATAAGACTCTCACTCAGTCTTCATTCCCTCAAGAAATACACTGAAAACTCACTTCAAGAAGGCAAAGCATTTAAACTGTTAACAGCTTTCCCTCCCCACACCTCACTAACACACTTTCTCTTCTGCAACCGTGTCATCTAAAAACCTATGCTTCAGTATAAACTCTTCTGGCAACCTAGTTTCCCATTACATGAAATTCATCTTAACCTGACCTCTTGTGTTATTCTACTTCACTCTCCTTCAAATGTAAGCTTGTTTGATCAGGACTTTCAGCACCTTCTATTCTTGCACATCCAACTTGTCTTGTTGTAAGTAGTTGTTTGTTAGTCCACCTTTTGTACAGCAGTGCAGAACTTGTTGGTGCTTCATAAGTAATAATATTAATAATTATTTTGTAGTATTTTATTGGATACCAAGTTACTATCTCTGGTCAATCGGTGGATATTTCCTTTGATGTGCCATGTACACATTATACACTGAAAGACACTATATTCTACATGTAGACCAGGGTACATGGGTACAAGCTGATTACGTTTTCCATTTTATACGCTTCATCTACATAATTAGCAAAATGAATAGAACTTTAATATCAGACACAGCTTGACTTATAACTGACACAATGATTATTATTTTACAATTAATTAAGTTGTAGAAGCCAGAAAAAGCAATTAAAACTGAGTAATCAATTTTAACTACAGTCTTGACCTTATAGCAGAATAATATACCAATTAATGACAAATAAAAGTACAGATATTCCATGTTAGATTAATTCTGCTGGACATTGAGTATGATGTTTTAATATCCAAAATGCCTCAAGTTTCTTTCAGTTTGGGATGAAGTTTATTGGATTTTTATTAATATTACCTTTCACTATCCCTGAAAGCGTGCCAATGAAGGTTGTCTCCCCAACGTTGTAAGAAAAGCCTTTTGTACAGGTGAACCTTTACATTGTTGATTGTCCATATACGCAAAAGGGCTACATGCGTCAAAGCCCAGATAGTTCAAATGTAATTCAGCAAATCACTGTCAATTTAGTTTAGTTTTGTTATTGATTTTAATTTCCATCTTTACTTTACTTTTACATGGAGGATATGTGCACTGCAATATGGTCCACACAGTATGTCATGATATATATCTGGTACTATACAACTGTTGTGAAGTACCTTATCACATTGAGGAACTTTCTAATCTTATTATTAAAAGGACCACTATAGGCACCTAGACCACTTCAGCTCAATGAAGTGGTCTGGGTGCCAGGTCCCCGTAGTTTTAACCCTCAGAGAAACTGCTATGTTTACTTTGAGGGTTAATCCAGCTTCTAGTGGCTGTCTTCCTGACAGCCACTAAACCCAACAGCAAGTTCTATTCATCAGATAGGATGAACAAGATGTGAACTGAGTTATGTGCAGTCTTTCAACATCTTATGTTCTCTACACAACTAGGGGGAACATGGAATGTGTAAGGTCATTCCACATACACAAGTGTAATGGATCATGGATAGCAAAGGAGAAAATAGGAAAGATATTCCTCATTTTACATAACTAACCCAGCAGGCAGTCCATGAGCTGCAATGATATTGACATGACACTGTGCTTATAAACCACTTAGGGTAGCTATTTGGAGGGTACTCTATGCAGAGGCTTAGAACAATCATGTTTATTTTTACCAGTAAATGTTAGTTTATTTCAAAATGGTAACATTTTCATAAATTTGTCTAATTTATAGTTGTTCTGAAGCTGTAATACTGCCTCTGCAGCATAGCAATGGCTTTGCACTAAATTAATATTTTTATAATGTATATATAGCAGTAATTATTTCTAGCTGCTTTTTATCTAGCAAGCTGCAGCTTACATTATATACAAAACTCACAAGCATTTCAGTTTATAAATTGACTTTTTCAAAGTCCAAAATCTATAGCGCGTATAGACTGTCCCTTGGATTAATGGGTATTTTATTTGCTCCTTTACAATCCAATATCCTGCCATCTTGTGCAAGCAGCATACACACATGCAATTTTTCTCAAAAATAAGTCCTAACCACAGCCATGCCAATACCATTGCTGTAAAAGTCCAAATAAGGATGTCTACATGCCACTATTTTGTACATTCTGTAAGATGCTGTTTGCTGAATTAATAATAAACGTAACAGTACTGTAGCATAAGAATGCTTTAAAAGATTTGTTATAATAGTTTATTTTGAAAAATGCGGGGGGCGTGTCTGTCGAGGTGTGCGCGTGTGTTGAATGCGAGCGGGCGCATAGAATGAGAGCTCCTGGCTTGTCAGCAACCCAGTAGCGTGGTTTGGTAGCAGCAGTTCCCTACCCGCTACCTGCTACCCGATAACAGTTAACCGCTTTTTAACTGTTTCTAATTGAAACACACTGTAATTTAGCCTCATGGCTCCGGCTAAGCAAGCCAAACTGACCGATCAACTCCGCCATGTCAAAAAAGACCGCCTACTGACAACGCAAGAAGACGACGAGGTAGACTCTTTTCAAACTTCTACATTGATACAAGAGAGTGAGACCAGTCAGTATACAGTTGACCCTGTTTCATAGACAAAACTGTACGCTATGCTGCAGAGCTTTAAAATTATCATGCAGTCTGATCTGAAAGAGGTGACTAATGAGATCAAGAAGGAGATGGCTGAGATGGGTGAAAGAACCAATAGTTTAGAAGCTTGCTCGGATAAAATCTGCCATGCACAGAACAAACTAGCGGAGAGTATAGCTTCCCATACCGATGAATGCAAGTTACTAAAGAGGAAATTGGCGGATCTGGAGGACCGCTCAAGGTGGAGTAACGTCCGGTTTCGTGGAGTACTGGAGAGTATTTTGAAAGATCAACTCTCAGGATTCTTAGTGACACTATGCAGGTCATTGGTTCCAGAACTCGCTGAGCCAGATTGGCTTATGGATCAAACTCATCGCTTACCGAAACCACAGAGAGTGGGCTCTGAGCTACTGCGTGATGTAATAGCACACTTCCAATTTTACAAATCAAAAGAAGCGTTGCTTAAAGTGACAAGGAATATACCAACCTTACCTGAACCATAGTCCAGCATACAACTTTATCCCGATCTCTCAGCATCAACTATGAACAATAGAAGAGAATTTATCAACGTTACTAAGACCCTCAGATATAATGTCATCCATTACCGATGGGGCTTCCCAACTAAACTTCTCATTTGGAGGAACGGGAGAACGCACACCGCAAACGAACCGGAGGAAGGTATGAGGCTGTTGAAAGAGTGGAACTTAATCCCTATAGAGACTGCGAGTGGCACGTTAGGTGCAGCTTTGGACTGTTTGCAAGCAGAATGGCAGACGGCAGGATCACCAAGGGGGAAGTAGGAATTAAAAGTGAGCTGCTAATCACAATCTGGACTTTGGCCTACTGACTTTGGATTTGGACCCCATAAAGTTAACAGCTTGGGAATGTATAGAATCAAACTTTCAGGTATCCAGGGTTGTGAGTATGAGTATATCAGTATATGAGTATGAGTATATCAAAACCAAAATATATATATATATATATATATATATATATATATATATATATATATATATATATATTTATTGTGATCCTTGTTTGCAGGTAGCATGGTCCTCTAGGGTAAACAATAGGCACAGTCCTTGTAATTGCATATACTCCAGGCACTTTATTTGCAAATCCACACAGGATACAGCAGTAAATGAAAACATAAATGTAACAGGTTTCCCTTTAAACAAAAACCTAGCTCGTCTGAGCACTGACTCACTTTAGGTTCCCTATCTCTCAGGGTTAAACTAAACAAAACAATATTGCACCAACCTTATTAGATAGCAACACTCTGCTAGCTAGCCTGTTGCTTTCCTTTCTGCACTCCCAGTGCTCCAAGCCAGCCTTGCCCTGACTGCTTTCCTTTCTGCACTCCCAGTGCTCCAAGCCAGCCTTGCCCTGACTGCTTCCTTCTGCACTCCCAGTGCTCCAAGCCAGCCTTGCCCTGACTGCTTCCTTTCTGCACTCCAAGTGCCTAGTCTCCTTGACTATCTGGAGAGAACAGCCTCTCTCTCCTACCTGCTTCCTGGGAGGAAGCCAGCAATCCCTCTCCTTTTCCTGCCTAGCCGGGAGGGGTTTATTCCCACTGCAATAGCTCATTAACTGCAGCTGAGCAGTGGGTTGGAGACGGTCCAAAAAACCCTGGCCTGGATCTATGTCTCCCCAGAACACCACTAAACTGTGGAGTGGAGCACTGGCCCACCCTTCTCTCCAAATGCTCCACCCCAGGGGCCCATAACTAAACAATGCGTTGTGTTGTGCAAAACACAAACTACACATACTCCCCCTGGGGTTAAAAGGCCTATCTGCCTTCACTTTATCACAATATATATATATATATATAACTCTTTGAGTATACAGTGAATTTATTATGATAGCAATATAGAACGTTAACATTGTTAATAAGGTGTAAATAATGGAATGATGTGTAAATAATGTGTAAATACTATGTTAAAACTGGGTAAATATTAGACAACCTACCTGTTTTATCTACTTCATCTACTCTATTTTGAACCATAAGCTTAATGCTTATACCATAACCATGAGCTTAATATGGGTTAAGTATAACACTCATAATATTTAGTATCCCAGTTATAACTAAAATATATAAGGTCTGTTCGGGGTATTTAGTACATCATTCCTATTGAATGTAAGCGATTGTTACAACATTGCCGACTGTAAACAACTTAAGAAGCATCAGCAAGATTCCAGTGAAGTACTGAGATATATTGATTGCGCTGTTTACGATGATTATTAGGCCATATTAGGTAGGGATTGAATATGAATTGTATACGGATTATATATACTCTCTTAGGTTACAGCACTATTACAATGAATGCATTTGAAAAGAGTTTATTTATTAAAGGGAAAAAGAAATTAGGCATTGGGACAGGGGCTGGGCGAATAGCTATTAATAAAATTAAGGTAGGTGAAGATCTAAATGACCAAGAGCTAACAGATGTATCTATTAATTGGTAAGCTAGGAAGCCATGATAAGGGTTACATTTGGAAAGCAACTTATTGACAAAATATTAATTTATCCATTGCAAAAATACAAAAAACAAACACTAAGTAATATACTGTCACGCACTATAGCTCTTGGTTTAATCTGCTATGTTGTTACTTTGTATAATTAAAGAGGTAATGGAATGGTGATCTTAAACAATTATAGATTGCATGCACTTTGATTAGTCAGCAGACACGTCCCTTGGGTGAGAGGTAGGTCGGGAATGTATTACCCGCTTACATTTCATTCAGGTAGAGCGCTAGGGAATATTATGGCACTATGTATATACCTAAGTTGTTCCTTTCCCCTATTCTTTTTGGGTTTATTTTTTCTTTCCCTGGGCCACTCCACTACTTAGAGAACCAACAACAATATTACGTATTTGCATTTGCATTCGCATATTGTATATTGTGTAGTGAGGAACAATTGAATTGGGAGCATGGATAATTATTTAATTATACTCACTTTAAATGTTAAAGGCCTAAACAGACTTCATAAACGCAGAATGTTAGAACATGAAATGTTGAAATCAAAAGCAGCAGTGGTATGTCTTCAAGAGACACATTTCTGTGCTAAGGACCCACCTAAATTTAATATTAAACATTACCCCCAAAACTATCATGCTATGTTCACGACTCAAACTAAAGGGGTATCGATTTATTTTCATAGTGACTGGCCATTTATTCCTGACAAACAATATGCTAGAAAAGATGGGAGATTGCTGATTTTGGTTGGATTATTAAATGGACTATCAGTAAATATAGTTTCATTGTATGCGACAAATGACGCGCAAAAATCGTTTCTCACCAAGGCGTTCCGAAAGATAGAACAATATAAGACAGGACAGGTATTTTATTTGCGGTGATTTCAATTGTGTCCCAGATCCTTCTTTTGATATTAAAAGAGTAGAGGATAAACTACCGAAACAGCTATCGGTCCACCTTGGTCAATATTTCAAGACCCTGCTGCATGAATTTGACTATTATGATCTATGGCGCAATCTTTATCCTTGTGAGAGATTTCACCTACTACTCAACAGTACATATGACTTTTACTAGAATAGATCTATGTCTGTTGGACATTAAAACCCTGCCCTTCGCAATTAGCGCACAAATAGGCCCAATAACGTGATCAGACCACGCGCCTTTAAGCATTAAGATAAAGGTGCCATTTTCAGTAAAGGGGAAATGTGTATGGCGTTTAAATGACAGCCTATTAGATGCCAATGAGTACCTCCCAAAGCTGCAATCTCAGGTGGAGTTGTTTTTTAGAAATCATGTTAAATGCCAGACTAATGTTATTACCCAATGGCTAGCCTATAAGGCAGTTATAAGAGGTATGTTAATACAGGAAGGGGCACGGGTAAAGAGATCACGTTTACAGGAAATGAGCAAATTAGAACAGGAATTGACCACGGTGGAGGCAGTACACAAAGCTGTTCCTACCTCATTTTCACATTCACAACTGATGACGCTTCGGTCAGCCTTACATGATTTACAACTTTCGGAAACAGGGAAACATATGAGACAATTAAATCAATCATATTTTGTTATGGGCAATAAAGCTGGCAGACTCTTAGCCAGTAAAGTTAAACAAAAAAAAATTACAATCCAAAATCCCTTACATAGTTTTTAAAAGGGGTGATCAATTATATAATCCACAGGATATTACAAATGAATTGGCAACTTACTATTCAACGCTCTATCAATTAGAGAAAGATACTAATACACATTAACCAACTGAGGAGGACATACATACCTTTCTAGAGAGGGTTCCTCTACCCAGGCTAACATCATCTCAATGCTCCTTTCTCAAAAATCCATTTGAGGAGGAAGAGGTAGTAATAGCGATAAACTCCCTTTCTAAGCATAAGGCTCCTGGGCCTGATGGGTTCTCAAATTATTACTACATAAAATTAAAAAAACAATTGACCCCAGTCCTTACTAAGCTTTTTAACTATATAAAAGAAACTGGTGCCATTCCCCAATAAATGCTGGAATCACATATTGTGGCTTTACCCAAACCTAATAAATCACCAATACAGAGTGCAAATTTGAGACCGATATCCCTACTTAATACGGATATTAAGCTCTATGCTATTAGCTTCACGACTTAAATACCTCCTTCCAGACCTTATTTCGGAAGAGAAAGCAGGGTTTATACCTGGGAGACAGATAGGGGATAACACTAGACATTTTGTGAATCTGGTGGAATTGGCAAACACTTCATCACAAGAAGGCTTAATTTTAGTATTAGATGCTGAAAAAGCTTTCAACCGCCTGCATTGGGGGTATATGTCACTTACGCTTACTAAAATGGGTTTTCCATTGGCTTTTCGAACCAGCATATTAGCACTATATCAAAATCCGTCTGCAAAAGTGTTTAACACTGGGTTTTTTTCCGAACAAAATAAGAATATGTAATGGTACTCGCCAAGGTTGTCCCCTTTCTCCCCTTATTTTCATTAAATGTATGGAACCCGTAGTAAGAATTATTAAACACTAGCATAAAAGGCTTGATTACGCCAGGGGGCATTAAAAAAATGGTGCTGTTTGCGGATGATATTCTGCTTTTTATTAAAGATCCGGAGCTCTCCCTACCATAACTGACTAAACTGCTAATAGAGTATGGGCAGGTATCGGTATTATAAAAATAATGTAACTAAAACACAGACGTTACCTATTAAATTTCAACAAAGCCTGATAGATAAACTGAAGTCAAAATATAATTTTGAATGGTGCACCTCATTTATAAAATATCTGGGAGTTAAACTCACTAAAGCAACCAAAACATTAGCTAAAGTAAATCACTATCCAATGCTTCAACAAATTAAAAACACAATGGCAAAATGGGAGGTTTTGGAGATTTCATGGTTGGGCCATATAAATCTCATTAAAATGGGGATATTACCTCACATATTGTATCTTTTTAGAACATTACATAGCACTTTCCAACAAATTACTTAAGCAAATTCAGGGTACCATAAATGCTCATATTTGGAGGAGGAAA